GCGTCATAGGCGCCTGTCCGCACATGTTCTGCAGCGTAGCGGGTCGCGCCGCCCCCACGGCGCGCGGACTGGGAGGACCCTCTCGCGCCCCTCTCCCTTAAGCCGATAGCTCCCTCCCGCCCCGGCCGCGAGCCCGCGGCGTTGTAGCCTACACACAGACACCTCTCCGCGCCGTAAAGGGTGGCGTGCAACGTACTACTAGGATCAGCGGCGAACGAGCTCATCTTTTTTTGCCCGTCCCGGACGAACAGCGGTTACGTTTAATCGACCTCAGTCGCATCCCGCAACTCCCATCGTTTTGGCGCGAACCCACCGTCGCGCCCTTTATCCGCGCCATGGCGGCGGTTTCCTCTTGCACATTCTACATGCTCGACGCCGATTTTGTGCGCTACTTCCACGGCACGTACCTGCCCTTCCTTCAGCAGATCCGGGAGGAGCACCCGCAGGCGCTCGTCAAGACCACAATTGACTATGCCGAGGCAGTCAAGGGCACCCACCTAGAGACAGCCCTCAGTGTCTCGCACCGCTGGATGAAACCCGATGAGCCCGATCCCGACGGCGAGCAGCTCAAGGCGATCAAGGCGTTTCTCAACTCGCCGAATGGCAAGATGATCGAACGCGTCTGGGTTGACAGCGCCTGCATGCCACAGGACCAGCCTAAAGGCTCGCGCAGCGCGGAGGACACGGCCTCCTTCGAGACGATGCTCTCGGAGGTGAACCTGCTCTACCTTGGCACCACCGTCCTGATACTCCTCGACCTGTCCTATGTGTCTCGCTTCTGGACGCAGTTTGAGTCGTGGCTCGCCATGCAGCACATGACTCCGGGCGGCCTCAAGCCGGCGGTGGGCACCATGAACGAACGGCACCACATCATGTGCATTCAGAACGCCGCTGCGCAAGCCGAGCTGTACACCCGGGTGCAAGTTGAAAACTGGGCCACAAAGCCGCCGCACGAGGCACATGCCTTCCTGTCAAGGCCAGACGTGACTGTCACGAATCAGAGCGACAAGGAGGGGCAGCTGCCAAAGATCAAGGCGCTCGACGCGACTGTGCAGAGCACGTTCCTGGCGATCGCGTGGGAGTACGATCGTGAGCTGGAAGCCAGCCGCGAGGTGTTGTCGCGCGCCGAAGCGGCGCTGACAGCGTGGGAGACGGAAAATGATGCTGTCGCCGGAGAGAGGAACTCGAAACGGGTGGCAGTAGCGACGGCTGCGAGCGTTGCTGCCCGTGCGCAGGCGGAAAAGGGAAGGCTTGAAAGAGCGATCGAGCTCGGTATTGTCCCAGTGAGGTTGGACGCGTGCGCACAACTCGAGGTGAGCGTGAGGTGCGGTGACGCCGCTGGCGAGGGACCAACTGCTTCGATCGAGCCTCCTCCGCCGCCGGCGCCGCCGCCGCCGCCGCCGCCGGCGCC